CCGCCACCGTCACCACCTCGGCCACCCCTGCCTCCTCTGCCTCCAAAGCCGCCGCCACCTCTGCCTCCAAAACCGCCGCCGCGACCACCTCTCTTATTCTTGAAGTCTCCACCTTCACTCTAGAATGCAGCACATGAAAAAGGAAACACAAATTATTTTATTTTTGAAAAATAAGAAATTCAAACGACACAGAATCTGTTTTTTTTGGATATTACACTCCAGATAAACAGATTCTGTTATAAATGCAGAGATTTAAAAGATTTTAATGATAAGCAAAGATATTTTCAGGTTTTATGTCATAGGCATAAATCCCCCGAAATCAAGTAAGTGCCTCAACATTAATTTGTACCGATTTTTATAAATTTGTGAATTCCATTTTCAGTTGCTTGCAATCATTTCGGAGCACAAAAAGAACAATTTCGTCGTACATTTCACCCACGTTGTAACCTTTATTTGAGGCACTTACCTTGGCTTCGAAAGACATATCTTTTACACGTGCATCTATTTCTACCTCCTCCTCACGCACGCGCCTAAATGGTGTATTTTTCTTTACTTCACCACCTGAATTTCTCTGCTCGTTTATTTTTGGTTTTCCATTGAAATTGGGTGTAGATGAAAAGCCATTTTGCTGCTTTAAAATTTGAAATGATACATTATAAATCTTATCAAATTATACTGTGACTCAAACAAATGACCCCCTGTTGATTTTTTAAATATTGGTAATGTTTTTCGAGCTAAATTTTTTTGTTGTTTTAAAAAACACCGTCCAAGCTATAACCAAAACCATATAAATCGCTGTATCAGACCTTATACAAAATTTAGGAAAATTCAACAAATTTTCATCAAAATTTCAAGCTTTTAATCGCAATCTTTAGAACATTTTCGGGTAACAGTTTTATAGCCCATACAAATTTAGTCTAAAAAAGTGCAAATTTTAAACGGCTTAAGATCGCGTTGATTTTTGAGAATTTTTTTACGGATTCTCCATCTCAAAAATCAACGCAATTTTTTTGCCGGTTGAAACTTGCACTTCATAGGACTAAAATTGTATGGGCTATAAAACTGCATGTATACCGTAAAATGTTCTAAAGGTTTAGATTAAAAATTTGCAATTTTGATTAAATTTTTTTGTATATTCCTAAATTTTGTATAAAGTGTGAAACTGTGATTTACATGGTTTTAATTAACGCTTGGACGGTCATTTGTTATCGCAGTATTTCTGAGGAAACTGAATTGATCCACATTATAATGCACCAAACTGATGAACATTTTTCGAAAAATACTCGCTAGTTTTGAATTAAAAAATATCATTTACTAAATATTGTAAGGGTAAAGCTGCCTTTACACGGATCGATTTCTGTCGACTGGAAAATCGACCGGACAAAACATTTACGTTTTCCGGTTTAACTGCCATTTACATGGGTCGATTTCGGTTGAACGACAAAAATCGGGAAAGGACAGCTTAAGCTCCTAAATATGGTGAACGGTTTTTAGCTATTTTTCTCCAAATCCACATATAATTTAATAACTTATTTACTAACATTTATGTATAATTTCATCCACGTATTTAGCTTACCTTGCCTTCGCCACTCTTTACAAAATTGCTATATTTCTTGTTAGCCTGATTTTGTCCAGCAGCAGATTGATCAAATTTTCTCTTCTCTCCAACTTTAGGATTTGGCTTTTGTTGTACCTTTTCCTCATCATCCTCGTCGTCATCGTCAGAGCTGCTTTCTTTCTTCTTTTTTGGAGCAAGGACCTTTGGTGTGGGCTTCGGCTTTTCATCTTCGCTATCATCCGAATCGCTATCATCACTTGAGGCTTCAGCTTTCTTAGAAGCAGCAGCAGCTTTCACAGTACCTACTGCTTGCTTTTTGGCTGGTGGTTCATCGTCCGATGACGAATCTTCAGAGCTTGATTGTTTCTTTTTTGCTGGAGTCTTGGCGGCCAGTGCTGGTTTCTTTGCTGGTGGTGGTTCGTCCTCTGATGAGTCTTCTGAACTACTAGAATCGTCCTTTGTTATTTTAGCAGGCGCTACATTCTTCTTAACTACAGGCAAGACTGCTGGCGTTTCTTCTTCACTCGAACTATCGTCCGAACTAGAATCCTTCTTAACTGGGGCCACCTTTTTGGCTGGCTTTTTTGTTTCTTCTTCAGAACTGTCTTCCTCACTCGAAGATTCCTGTTTCTTGGCAACCACAGCTGCTTTTGTTACGGGTTTCTTTGCGGCAGCAACCTTCGGTTTTTCCTCCTCACTCTCCGAATCAGAGTCTGAGGTATCTGCGGCTTTAGCAACAGCTTTGGGTTTAAGGGGTGCAGCCTTCGTGGGTTTTGTATCTTCTTCGCTTTCCTCAGATGAACTATCTGAATCATCCTTTTTCTTAACTACAGCTTTGGGTTTTGCAGGCACAGCTTTTTGTGCTGGTTTGGCTGGTGTTTTGACCTCTGTTTCGTCGTCTGAGCTATCCTCACTTGATGAGCTCTAGAAGAGAAGTATCAGATTATCGAATATTGAATATACATATGTACATATATAAGTATAAGAAAATATTGAATGATAATATCATATTATGTAGTTGGTAAATTTTATGTTTCTTTTCTGGGTTCTTTGGCTGTTGAGTATATCTCACTAGACAAAGATCAACACAGTGAGCTTGTTAACTTTTGTTTTGTTACCGGCAGCCAGTTCGAAAACGTCATATCTCCAAAAAATTTTCAAGAACGCTCTACTCCAGAATTTGATTGAAGAACGCCCTATCTCAGAATTCGGTTCAAAAACGCCCTATCTTAGCTGAAAATACATAGAAAATGTGCTGAGATAGGGCGTTTTTGATTCGGCTGCTGAGATAGGGCGTTTTCCAATCAAATTCTGAAAAAGGGAGTTCTTTAATAAAATTCGGAATAAAATAAACAGTTTCTACACTTTTGTATTAGTATCTCGTGATTAAGCTAACCTAGCGCTAACTTGCGGTATGTGCAAAAAAAAAAACAGGCCATATATCTTACTTTTTTTGCAGCCTTTTGTGGAACCGGTTTGGTTGCTACAACTTTAGGAGCAGGCTTTTCATCCTCAGAACTGTCCTCGCTGGTAGACTCATCTTTCTTCGCTTGTGGTTGGGTTTTCTTTACTACTGCAGGCACAGCTTTTTGTGCTGGTTTGGCTGGCGTTTTGACCTCTGTTTCGTCGTCTGAGCTATCCTCACTTGAACTCTAGAAGAGAAATATCAGATTATCGAATATTGAATATACATACATACATAAGTATATAAAAAAATATTGAATGTTATGTATTTGGTAAATTTTAGATCAGTTTTTTTGACACATTACATATCTTCATCTGAGTTGGGTTTGCTCATGATTCATGAATCATGGGGTTTGCTGGCGCTGAAATTCTTGATTTTTTAATTTCATAGAAAATTTAATTAACTATCAAGTTATGACGTTAAGTTTTGGACACGAAAATATTTTTTTGAGATTGAACAGTTTTTACACTTTTGTATTTGCCACTAACTTGCGGGAATATGCAAAAAAAACAGGCCTTATATCTTACTTTTTTTGTAGCCTTTTGTGGAACCGGTTTAGTTGCTACAACTTTGGGAGCAGGCTTTTCATCCTCAGAACTGTCTTCGCTGGAAGAATCATCTTTCTTCGCTTGTGGTTGGGTTTTCTTTACTACTGCAGGCGCAACTTTTTTTGCCGGTTTGGCCTCTTCATCGCTGTCACTATCTTCTGAACTATCCTCCGATTCAGCTTTCTTAGCAGCTGCTTTGATCAAAGGAGTTTTGGGGACAGGCTTTGAATCTTCCTCGCTACTATCTTCTTCACTTGATTCTTGCTTTTGCTTCTGTGGTACCTTAACATTAGCTGGTTTGCCTGGTGTTTTAACTTTTGGTTCTTCGTCAGAGCTATCATCACTTGATGAAGTCTGGAAAACAAATATCAGATTATTGAATATAAATACTTGAGAGGCATTTGGTAAATTAAAGGTCTTTTTTTTAATGCATTTTTACGATGACGTGTTTGTGCCTCGTAACTTGTACTAATATGTAAAAAAAAAACAGGCTTACTTTTTTTGCGGCTTTTTGTGGAGCCGGTTT